CCGCCCTTATAAGGAGATAAGATTCCCCTTTCTTCTCTCACGCTTCCTTCCCCGCCTCTTCGTTCTTGAGATCCAACACCCAAGTCCTCATTCGCTCCCATTCAAACAAAGACCCAATCATGTCCGGATCCGGAGCCGGCGGTAAATGGATGGCCTCCTCCGTTAAGAGGAAAAATATAGAGGAGCTCCGAGAGGCCGGATACCTGGCCAAGAAGATCGTTTTACGACTTCCGACTGAGGGACAGATCATCCCCACCCCCGAGCCTCATGAGAGAGTGGTGTTCCTCACACATTTTGTCCGTGGGCTGGGATTCCCTCTCCACCCGTTTGTCCGTGGACTAATGTTTTATTATGGGCTAGATTTCCATGATCTAGCCCCCAACTTTATTCTCAACATCTCGGGATTTATAGTCGTGTGCGAGGCCTTTCTCCGCATCCCACCTCATTTTGGCCTATGGCTGAAGACTTTCAATGTGAAACGGAAGGTGGTGAGCGGTCAACAGGCAGAGTGCGGAGGAGCTATGTTGGGTAGGATGCCCAACGTCACCTGGCTCAAAGGTTCTTCCGTGGAAACGGTGAAGGGTGGCAATCAGGGTTGTTCTACATCACCGAGCCGCGCGACACCAACTGGACGGCGGCCCCCGAATTCCGATCCGGAGCTCCGATGTGGCTCACCTCCTGGCAAGAGAAGGGCCTATCCTGGGGGTACTCCGGACGTGCTGGCAGGGCTCCAGACGTGTGTCCAGAACATGATATCCAACAAGATCAAGCTTGTCAATATGATCCAGGTCATGCTCATCCGCCGGATCCTCCCGTGCCAACGCCGGACCTGCTATTTGTGGGAATTCGATCCGGCCAAGCACTAGACGCTGCTAGGGCTCTTCGGCACAACACACAAGGATATCTGGAAAGTGCTCTTCAAGGCCGGCGAGATGCCACCACCTACAACCGAGGATTGTGGGCTTAGCTCAAAGCGCCAAGCCAATTCGGTAAGCTCTTTCACGCTCTCAAGGCATAATCTTTACTAGCGTATTGTGAGAAAGAAGTCTAAGCTCTCCTGCCAATCTTTTCTTAGGCCTGGACCGACATAGCGAGGCGGATTAACTGTCCAGCCCCGCTACGCGAAGACAAAGAGACCCCACTCCTACGAAGATGTTGTTCCCGGCGCCTTATGAAGTGCCAGAGAAGAAGACTAAGAAGGCAACCAAGGGGACCAGGAGTGGCCTTCGTCGAAAGGATACTTCGGACCTGTCGTCCGAAGACGAGACTGACCCTCTGGTTGCCGAAGATGAGGAGGAGGAGGAAGAAAACAACTCCCCCCCCTGAGGGGGGAAGGAAGAAAAGGGTGGCCTCCATGAACCTAGAGGTGAAGGCACCCAAGAGGGGGAAGGGCTCCCTCGCAGAGAACTCCGCGTGGGATGTCGATAGCAATCCGGAACGAATGCCCTGGACCAAGCCTCGGGCCGCTTCGTAAGTACCAGAGACATTATGCTCATCCAAATGTATGGCCCTTCCCCTTTGCCATATTAATATGTTTAATTTATGCTATTGCAGTCCAGCCCGTGACAGTTCTCCGCAATCCTCGACAGAGGGCTCGCTGGGCTCAAAGGAGATGGCTAGCATGTCGCCACCACCTGCTCACTCTACCTCGCCCAAAGGCGATGACGAGGTGGTGTCCCAAAGGGCCTTTCTCGACCAAGAGGAGGCTCCGGAAATCGACAGGGCGGCGTCCAAGGATGACTCCACGGCCGCCGGACACATGGGGGAAGAAGCCCCCATGGGGACTGATGGTGGGGGCCGAGTTCCATTCGCCCCCCAGCCGGATATCGATCTGGAGACCTGTGCGGCTGCGGAGTCCGGCGAACGGCCTTCCCTGAAAGGAGGGGGTGTGCCTGTTTCGCTGGTGACCTCCGTCCAGCCAGAGGCGCCGGATGATCTGCTGGAAGCACTGCGAGGTGCCTCTATTGTAGATGAACACCGTGTCCTCATGGGGTATGGTGATCAAAAAGGTTTAGTCTGCCAAAAGCGGGCTGAACGAAGCCTGCACTAGCCTTTTAACAGGTTTTGAGGTAATAATAATTGTAGAAATAATATCACAGCGTAGACAGTAGCCCCTGATGCTCTGTTCGGCGTTCGGAAAGAAAAGGCGAACAGAGGATCAAAACAATTTTCGCAGGAGTCTAATATATGATGTCTATGAAAATAAGCAGGTGTCGCTGCTGGCTGCTACGCTCATACTGCGGAAGTCTCCGAACTGAAGCGGAGCCTGGAGCGGGCCGAGGAAGAGCTCAGCCTTGTGAAGAAGCAGCTGGAGGACAGCCAAGGTATGCAGTAACCTGTACGTATATGTTAGGAAGGATGAATACTTCGTGTTGATTAAAGTGTCATGGACTATGCTAGGGGCCACGACTGAGGTGGCGGCCCTCAAGAAGGCATTAGCTGAGGCCGAGGACAAAGCGGCCAAGGAACACGCTGTACGCGAAAAGCACGAGGCCCGAGTCAGCGAGGTTCAGCAAGATCTTCAGGATGCCGTCAAGAAGTACGAGTCCCTGGAGCGTGATTCGAAGACATAGGCGTCTGAACTTGCGAAGGCCTGCCAGAGCGCACAAGAGGCTCGAGCCGAGGCCCAGAGCGCCCTTCAGGAACTCCAGGAAGCTAAGAAGATTGCGGCGGGTAAGGCTTTCATTATGCAAGGAAAGTCTGTGAAAGAGACGCTCCTTTTACTTACCCGAATTTGGTGCTCTATAGGGGTGTTTACAAATTTGCCGCGCAGCGTGTCCGATACTGCTGAATTCTATCGAGCCGAGGAAGGGAGTTCGACGGAGAAGCTGTTCTAGTCTCAATATCTTGGGGCAGAACATCCGGCATCCTTCAGCGACCAGCTGAAACAGTTGGTCGAGCTGCACAAGGCGGCCGAGCTGGCCATGAGGGACCTGATAGTCCGGCTATGGCCTGCCGTGCCGGTACCCAGCAGCTACTTCGGGCTTGTGAAGCGGCTTGTTAGTGCCTGCCCGCGGCTTGAGGTCGTAAAGCGGTCGGTCTGTATTGAAGGTGCCCGGATGGCCTTTGCTCGTTGCAAAATATGGTGGGCGAAGATGGATGCCGTCGAGCTGACCAAGGGGCCGTCGAAGGGCAAGGAGCACCGTACGCCCGAGCGCTACTTTGCGGATGTCCTAGAGGGGTCTCGTATCGTAGCCGCGCAGTGCGGGCAGGACGTTATTTTCGAGTGAATACACTCATATTTTGTCTTGTATGATGAAAACAAATCCACTTTGTAATAT